CCACTGTGAGGCGCTGTGGAGCTCAGAGAGACACTGCTCTCTCCACTGTGAGGCGCTGTGGAGCTCAGAGAGACACAGCGATCCTCCAGGCAGCGCTGTCACGTTGCATTTTTCATTCCCCTTGTACACGTTTGAAAACGATGTGCATTGTGATTCCATTTAAGAGTTAGAATTTTGTTTTCATGTGGGGGGACAGACGAGATGTGAAAAATGACCTGACAAGCAAAGCCTGTCATATTGAATAACTTTAGGAAGAATTTGCTCACAAACGAGCATGAAGGGGATTTTCCTGAAATTAAAAAACAAATCTGTGAAGCAAAACAATGGGGGAGAAAATCTCATCCCCGAGAATGAGTGATATAACAGCTGCCACTCGTGACCTCTAATCTGCCGGGAATGTGTCTTGCATTGGTTTTAAAGCTGAATATATGCAGCGGAATTATCTGAGCCCTCTCTCTCATCCGGTCGCACAACACGGCTCCAGATACCGAGATTACTCTTGTATTTACAGCCTGTGGCTGGAGCGGGAGACCACTCTCCGTATTAAAAGAAATCCCCTCGGTGTCTGGGGCGGCGGCGCTCGAACCCAACAGGGCACGTGCAGGGCGCGCAGGTATACAGGCAGGCGAGAGGAACTGAGTCTCTTCAGTCTAGGAGGAAGGAGAGTGAGAGGAGGCTTGTTCGTTCTGAGGGGGAGGGGGGCGCCCCACCTCGCTTTCCGACGTGTCTGTGGGGGGGGCCGGGGTTCAGCCTCCTGTCCGTGTGGAGCTCATATGTCTCTCCCGCCGGTGTGCGGGTTGCTTGTGCTGTAGTTCCCCCCTCCTGCTTGCAGGATAGGATGGGTCCGGACGCCTGCTTTAAAATAAATCATTCGCCCCCCGGGGCTCGAGTTCTCAGCGCCCCGGTGGCTGTGGGCAGTCTGTGGCGGTCGCCCCTGCAGAGCTGGGGCTTGTGCAGGCAGGCGCTTCTCCGGGACTCCCTTCTGTCACCCCCTTTTCCTCTGACTCACATCTCCACACCAGGGCTCGAACCTGCAGCCCCCGAGCTGTAACGTGTGCCTCCCTATGGCTGAGCCCCGGGGCTGGAGTGCGCCTTCGCTGGGGACATTTTGGGATTTTTTCCCTGTTATTTTACATTTCATTTGCAAAAGTGTCTTTGCAAAGACCTGATTTGTTTAAGCGCTAAAACCCCAGACCTGAGCAAAACTGCTGGGAGGGTGGGACTGGACAGCAATCAATCTAAAAGCATGAGCTCTGCTAAAAATATGCGCTGCAGATATTCAGCATGGGTAATCTTTTCAGCAGACTCTAAATCACATGCAACAGCAGCTCGTTCACGTGAAACACAATGGACTGGCCCGACAGCACCGTCTGGTGATCGGGATTTGAACAGAGGGCTCGCAAAGCCCTCTCACTCCCTCACCGGAGCTGTGCGGTCCTGAGAGAAACTCTGATTTCAGGCCTGGAGTGAGATCTAGAGGGAAGGTTAGAGCTTGTCTGAAGGTAGAGCTTTTTACTTTAAGATTAGGATTTGGCCCATGAAGTGCTCAGCCCCAACAAAATCTCAGAGACGTCATGTTAGGAATATGCCCATACACTGCAGCCCTGTAGCACCTGCTGTTTCCTGGTGAAGTTCTTGTGAACTCAGAACCCCACAGACGGAGGAGCACTGCCTCAGCCGACCCGGGTTCTACCTGCAGCCCCGCGCTGAGGCTGCCCCGAGTCAGCGCGAGGTTACCTGCATCGCCTGCGGGCGAGCTCTCTCCTCACGCTGGCGGAGTCTGTCTCGCCCGACCCGCCTCCCCTCCCTGTGCAGGCGGCAGAGCTCCTCCAGGGCCACCGCAGGAAGTGGGTAACCTCGTTTCAAGCCTTGTTATCGCTTCAGAAAGAGCACCACTGGTCCCTCACACGAGGGACCTTCTGCTCAGGCCTCACAGCAAATCGGCACGACCTCATCTAGAATACTGCGTTCAGTCTTTGTGCTCAGTGTGCAGTCACCACACTCCAGAAAGGATGCTTCAGCCTCGTAAAGAGATGGAAGAACAGCAGCAGGTACACAGACAGGCGAGAGGAACTAAGTCTCTTCAGTCTAGGAGGAAGGAGAGTGAGAGGAGGTTTGTTCCAAGTATATAAAATCCCCAGGGGTTCAGACGGGGACAAACTGGGGGGGGGGGTGACCTCAGACTTGGAGACAAAGGTCAAAAAACAAACGCAAAACAAAGATGCCGGGTCACAAAGGGGGACTAGAAGGATTTTTTTATGACTGAGAATTTCCCTACACAAAGAGTAGTAGGTGTCTCAGCCATGCTATTGAGGCTCAGACTTCGGGCTCTTTTAAACTTTTCGAATGAAATTGGATAATGAAAGATCTTACAGGCAAGACAGGCTGAATGGTCTTCTCTCATGTGCAGCTTGAGCTCTTCTGCTCCAACAGTCCTGCTGGTAATGTGATCTGCAGTCTGTGTGCTAACTGGACTGAGGACTGAGATGAGAGAGTCTATACCTCCTTCTGCCTACATTTCAAAATCCTTTTAATAGAATAGTTTCAAGGCAGTGTAGGGCCCTAACTTGTATCTAGCCTAGTCACAGACCCCCTGTGTTCCTATTTAATCCTTGCTTTACAAATTTCGGGCTTTGGAATTCCTGAACGTCTGAACTGAACCAGGGGGTTTCACTTGGCGAGTAGAAGCTCAGAGTCACTCTCTCCGTCTCTCAGAGAGCCTCTGGGTGGGCTTTGGCGTCCCGGCTCACCAAGAGCAGGGAAATCTGGGTACACCAACGTTGTCCTGCTTCGGGAAAGATGGTGCCTTGAAGGATGTTTGTGTTAGAGCTGCCAGAATCTCCCCCCCCCAGGTCTGTAAGTGAAGAGCCGAGCCGCCCCCCCAGGTCTGTGGCCAGAGACAAGGACACAGCAATAAAAATGGCTGCTTGCAGTTGGTTTTCAGCTTCTGGGGTAGGCATTCCTCTTCGGCCCCCTTCTGAAGGAAAACGCTGAAAGTCGTGGAAAAAAGTGATGAAACAGCTGTAAAACGTGGTCTGTCTAAAGTGCGCTCTGGGCCTCTGGTCTCCCCTTGGAAGAGAGGCCTAGATCTCGATGGGGGTGCTGGGAGCTGGCGTTTACACAGTTACCACACAGTTTGATGCCCCTAGGGCGGTGGCTGTACCCCCCCTCTCACACACACAGTATGCATTCACACCTGCGCTATCTATAGCACACAGCTCCACGCAGCCTCGCGCGAAACGCATGCGTCTCCATCTGTTGCTAAGGAGACAAAGAAGGAAACGTTGCGGGGTTGATGGGAAGGTTACCGAGTTAACTGGCGTGTTTGCTTGAAAGACAAAGCTGAAATTAGAAACACTAAAAAGTTCAACAGGAGACACTGATTGGCTTCTCTCCCACTCCCTGACTCTCTACCTCTTATACACACACACTCAATTATATACCCACACTCAAATACAGTAGATACACACACCCTCAATTATACACACACTTTCTTCACACTGTCACACACATACCTCAAACACGCTCATTCCCACACCACCTCTCACGCAGACTCAATTCCACACACAACCCTCACACTCTCAATTCCACACACACCTCTCACACACACACACACACACACACACCCCTGTCTGCCCAGTCACTCACACAGCAGCCTGCAGTGTGCTCACACATACAGTACACACACACACTGGAGACCTGCCCCTGCCTCTCCACCCCACTTCTCTGGGGTTTGCAGCCTGTACCCCTCCTTTCCTGCTGTTCCTCTGCTGCTCGGCATGTGTTTCATTGGCACGACAGGGCGGCTGATGTGGGCAGAGACTCTCAGTGGGAGGGAGGGTGCCCAGTGGCCTGGCGGTCAGCTGCCTCGCTTGTGGACAGGTGGGCTCGCTTCGGAGACGCAGGACAGAGTCAAACGCACAGCTCAGCAAAGACAGACGTGTAGGAGGCTCTTCTTAAAGCTGGATATGTATGCCGCCAGAGTGCGCCACCGCCATTCGAAAGCCCTAACCAGAATGAGCCCGACAGCGCCGATACCCCTCTGACGCCTCTGTCCCCCCCCTCTCTCCCCCCCCACCCCCCCTGGCAGGATCCTGCTGACGGTGGTGGTGATCTTCCGGATCCTGATCGTGGCCATCGTGGGTGAGACGGTGTACGAGGACGAGCAGACCATGTTCATGTGCAACACCCTGCAGCCCGGCTGCAACCAGGCCTGCTACGACAAGGCCTTCCCCATCTCGCACATCCGCTACTGGGTCTTCCAGATCATCCTGGTCTGCACGCCCAGCCTCTGCTTCATCACCTACTCCGTGCACCAGTCCGCCAAGCAGCGCGACCGCCGCTACTCCTTCCTCTACCCGCTGCTGGAGCGCGACTACGGCCGCTCCCACGGCGACCGGCGCCTGCGCAACCTCAACGGCATCCTGATGCAGAACCCCGACGGCGGGCCCAAGGAGGAGCCCGACTGCCTGGAGGTCAAGGAGATCCCCAACGCGCCGCGGGGCCTCACTCACGCCAAGAGCTCCAAGGTGCGGAGGCAGGAGGGCATCTCGCGCTTCTACATCATCCAGGTGGTGTTCCGCAACGCCCTGGAGATCGGCTTCCTGGCCGGCCAGTACTTCCTGTACGGCTTCAACGTGCCGGCCATCTTCGAGTGCGACCGCTACCCCTGCGTGAAGGTGGTGGAGTGCTACGTGTCGCGGCCCACCGAGAAGACCGTCTTCCTGGTCTTCATGTTCGCCGTCAGCGGCATCTGCGTGGTGCTCAACCTGGCCGAGCTCAACCACCTGGGCTGGCGGAAGATCAAGGCCGCCATCCGGGGGGTGCAGGCCCGCCGCAAGTCCATCTGCGAGGTGCGCAAGAAGGACGTGGCCCACCTCACGCAGGCGCCCAACCTGGGCCGGACCCAGTCCAGCGAGTCGGCGTACGTCTGACGCCCCGCCCCGCCTTCCCAGGAGCCCCCGGGGGAAACGGGACGCTCGGCGTGCACTCTGGCGTCTGACCCCGGGCCGATGGGACGGGACGGGAGAGACGGGGAGCGGAGTGCGTGAGTGTGTGTCTGTCGGGAAGATCCAGGGATCAGGGAGGCTCCCGGACCCCCGGACTCCCGCCGGCTGGCTTTGAGCTCTTCTTGAGGGTTTTTGGGGTTTTGCCTCCTGGGTGAGAAGGGAGGGGTTGGGGGGCTGATAAACTGAACTAAAATAAAATAAAAGAGGAGTAAAAAGGACAAGAACTCTTGTCAGCCCCCTGGACAGGGGGGGCTGGTGTTTTGGTCTGGAGGTGTGGTTTTATCCTCGAAGTGTTGCCGTCCGGCCCCCGTCAGGATTGTTCCCACGGTGACGACACGATGGGGGGGTGCAGGAGAGCACAGTGGAGCTCCCCGACGCCGCCAGGATCGGGCCCCGGGCCGGCTCCCAGCACCAGCAATAAGAACAACAGGTTTCAACACCTTGGCAATATCGAGCTGCACTGCTGAGTACATTTCTTTTTCACAAGACGAAAGCACAATGACCTGGAGCGGACCTCCCAGACTCCCAGACTTGAAGAGCTGAGATCTGCTACTGCTACTGGAGTCGGGGGGGGGGCGGGGGAGGAGGAGGAGGAGGAGGAAGAAGATGAGGAGGAGGGGGAAGAGGAAGAGGAGGGGAGGGGGAAGAGGAAGGGGGGAAGGAGGGGGAAAAAGAGGAGGGGGAAGAGGAAGGGGGGAGGAGCAGGATGAGGAGGGAGGAGGAAGAGGAAGAGGACAGGGCCAGGTCCCTGCCTGTGCCCTCTGGGTCGTCTCTTCCCAGTGCCCCGCTCGCCCGCCCGCGCCCCTGCTCTCTTCCCCAGGCCCGGGAGGAGCCGGCAGGGGGCCCCATTCGGGGATCGGCGCTGTCCACAGTGTTGGGAACCCCGCCTGACCCAAGCGCTGGGGGCCTCTGGGGAGCAGCAGCCTGTGAGGCTGGGGGTGAGTGTGGGCTGCAGCTCCCCACAGCTGCTCACCGCACTGGGGCGTTCCCAGTGAGCCTGTAGATGTTTCCCTTCGCACCGGCTGGGCACGCGGACCTTCCTGCCAGCCCGTCAGGGTGTTGGCGTTGGTCTCCTGCTGTGAGCAGCGTGGCCCCTGGGCGTGGCTCCTGGGGCAGGCAGGCCAGGGGGCTGGGCCTCTGCGGGAGTGAGGGGGGGCGGGAACAGGGGGGACCACACAGACAACCTTCCGGGTGCTGAGGGCCCCCTCCTGAAAGAGAACGGCGCTCTGGGGGTGTCCCGTGGCCGGCCTGAGCTGTGCTGGTCCGAGGGAGGGGACGTTCAGGCGGGCAGCCAGGGCGCCCTGGCACGTAGCGCTGGCGTGGGGGGATGGTTTTTCAAGGTCCTCTATGCTTCTCCTCTGCGAGAGCAGGAGGCTGCTCTGGGAATTCACCAATGTCGACCAAGGCGCTAGAAAATGTTGCTGACGGGACAGACCGGGAGACCAGCCTTTCTGTTCGCGAGCTTCTCTGCTCCAGCGTCAGGATAATTAGCCGCCTGCCTTGAACAGCATTAACTCTCACACAGTGACCTGAGGGGGCAGTATTATTAATTGCACTTAACAGTTTCGACAGTGTGACTAGAGCCCCACAGCACAATTCGAGGAGTTGCATTCAGGACTGAGAACAGAGGGAGGGAGGGGGCACATCTTTACAAAAAGGGTGGTGGGTGTCTGGAGCAATCTGTTTAGACATGCTGTTGAAGCAGGTTCTTTGGGATTCTTCCAGAACTGGCCAGATGGCGAATCTTGCACCAGTCAGCCACTGGCAGCCAATCAAGCTAGATTGGTCAAAATGCTTCCTGCAGGTGGCCATTTTAAATTCCTGCACATTTCTTAAGTTGAGCATTTGGCCTGGCTTGATTGTTAATTGGCTAACACCTTAGGAGTGTACGAATCCCAGTCTGCAGAATCCCATCACAGAACTGGCTTCAACATGGTGGCTGAGGAATTTGTTACAGGCACCTGCTGTAGAGATCACGCCCAGCAGGTTGTCTGTGTCCCTGCACTCTCTTGCTCCCTCTCTCCAGTTTGCTGGAAGATCGTACCTCCCTGTACCTGAAATTTAATATTGTAGAAGCGATCTGTGCTGTACAGATTGTCATGGTGTCTTCTTTGCTGTACTGTATTTATTGAAAATAGGAATGATGTTGAGAATTATGCAATGTTTTCCAAACGTTTTCCAATGCTTTACTCTTATGGTGTACAGTTGTAAATGGCTTGGAGAGATTTTTTTCAGATGGTGTTTAAATTTGGAGCATGGGGAGACCGTGCGCAAGGTGATGCTTGTGAAGACACACCGTCTCCCGCTACGATATGCAAGCGCGCTCCGATCTGAAATACGAGGCCAGTTCACCCCACTGCATGGCGTCTTGGTAGAATAGCATGAACCGCCCTTTGCCAGCGGGGGTGAGTTTTGTCTCAGAGTCCCCGATAAGACCCTCTGAAAACATGCTCATCATCTCTCTAATCCAGCATCGTGTTCTGCTTCACGTGACGATGGCTCAAGGGCTTGACAAAAAAAACACACACACGCACACCGAGATCTCGCTCGGCAGATTGTCAGGAATTCCACATTTCACTTTTGCACGCCTTTGCCCTGTTGTGCTTTTATTTTCCTCTGGTTTTACTGGTTTTACTGGGGGGGGGGCTCGTCTTTCCTGCTGATCCGTGCTTTATCTCCCCAGTGCAGTGTGGGCAAAGGGCAGTCCTGCTGTAGGGATCGGGAGATGGCAAAACCTCTTCGAATTGTTCCCCGCCGCCCACTGTGCTCATCAGGAGCTTGTGGGCGCGGATCATCAGAAGCCTTTGGAAAAACACATCCCGCCTCCATCAGAACACAGGACAGGCTGGCCTCAGCCCCGAATTTATTCAAGCTCTTTTTTTTTTTGTCACGCCCCCTATAGCAGGGCCATGGTCCGCTGGAGTCCAGAATGTTATCTGCATGTCACTGGAGCACTGCTTGTTGTTCGTATTCTTCTAATGGTTTTGCCCTTCTGAAAGATGCTCGTGAAAAAAACTTCTAAATTGTCCCGACGCCCCCATCTCGCCGCTGCTGAGCAGAGGTGGACTGCGCTGTCCTGGGGGCTCTGACTGGGGGTCAAATTCCCTCTTTTCGTGCTACTTTCAGGAGACCAGTTCCTCAGAAGGTCGTGTGCTCAGGACCTGGGCGGTGTGCATGCTCTGCGGCCAAGGTCCTGGCGATGTTTTGCATGCTCTTTCTGGACCCATTCCTTACCCCCTTCCCCCCCGAACAATGCAAACCCACGGGCCGAGTGGGAGACGGAAGGAATCTGTGCGTTTCCAGGTTCAGAGAGGATTTCTTTTTTCTGTTCGTGGACATCACTAAGGACTCAGGGACCCCGGCTCGTGTGTTGTGGGGAATAACGCACCGCCAGCCCTTTATAGGGGGAGTTTCCAAAGCCATGAACCGGAGGAAGGACTGGGAAGCAGGATCACAACCAGGGATGGAGCCTCTCCTCTCCTCACCGAGGCATGGATCGAGGAACAGCTGACCGGGCCTGGCCCGGAAGCACCGTTCCCGTTCGGGACAGGACCCCAGAACTGCATGGACACACTCACACACACACACACGCGCACGGGGTCCAGGGTACTGCGTGTGTGTAAAGTCGGGGGGGGGTCAGAGCACACCCCCAGCTTGCCTCGGCAGCGCCAGCGTCTGGAATAATGAGAACGCATAGCCTCCCTCCTGCACATCTGGACCTCCAGGGCTGAACAGAGGCTGAGGAGCCTTCCTGCCCGATCTCCAAGCTGCTCCGCACGCCGCAGGCCGGCTCGCTCCCGCTCGAGCTGCTGTGTCCACGACGGGGTCACTTCACACGCCTGACCCTTGCTTTGACCATCGCAGCACCGGGGGGGGTCGAACGGCACCCATTAAATCCTAACTTTGTGGGGGACTTAACTCAGGATCCGGGGTTGGGACAGTCACAGCTAAATCACATCACACTGAACATCCACTGACACGACATCACACTGAATATCCACTGACACTACATCACACTGAACATCCACTGACACTACATCACACTGCACACTGAATATCCACTGACACTACATCACACT